TTGCAAGTTAGGGATTTGGGGTACTGGACAACATCAAAATTTAATCAAGTCATATAAACTCTGAATTTCACTGTAATCTGAGTTACCTTTATTTATTTTGAGTTGGAGTCTCACTCTGTCACCCAAGCTGGAGTGCAGTGGCACGCTCACAACCACCGCAGCCTCAACCTGCTAGGCTCAGGTGGTCCTTCTGCCTCAGCTTTCCAAGTAGCTGGAACTGGGCTCAGTGGCTCAGCCTGTAATCCCGCGCCTTTGGGAGGCTGAGGTGAGTGGATTGCCTGAGCCTGCGGGTTCGAGACCCACCTGGACAGCGAGACCTCATCTCTACAATAAATCAAAAAATCAGCCGGGCGTAGTAGTGCATGCCTGTAATTCCGGCTACTCGGAAGGCTGAGGTGGAAGGATTCCCGGAGCCCAGCAGGCGAGGCTGCGGTGGCCGGGAGCGGCCACTGCACTCCAGTCTGGGTGACCGAATGAGACTCCAACTCAAAAAAACAAACAAACAAAAAAAACAAGTAGCTGGAACTACAGAACTTGCCACCATGACTGGCTAATTTAAAAAAAAATTTTATTGTAGAGATGAGGGCTTACCATGTTGCCCAAGCTGATCTTGAACCCGTGGGCTCAGGCAATCCTCTGGCCTCCACCTTCCAAAGTGCTGGGATTACAAGCATGAGCCACCACGCCCAGCGTCTTTATGCCTTACTGGTCACAAACAATACCATTTTTCTCACTGGGAAATTTATTTTCAGATATATTTTTATACATCAATTGACTTTGTCATTGCTTTTATTTATTGCTTTAGTCCAAAAATTTAAATTTAGAAACATTATCTTATTTCATAGTACTTATTTTTATGATTCTCTTTATTTATAGCAAACAATACTAGTTTTCCATTTATGATGATAATATTAAATACACTTATTTATGAATAAAATGAGACAACTTAAAGAAAAATATTAACTAGCAGTACGGGTGGCATTAGAATAATTGCAGAAATCAGGATGGTGATGCAATGAAAGATGTGTGGTCTATAAAGAGTAACATTGTTTGATACTGTTTATTGAGCATTTATTATGTGCCAGGCCCAACGCTACTGATGGTAGGGCTGTCCAGTAGAATCTGAAATGATGGAAACACTTTGTCTGCACAGTTCAAGTCACATGTGGCTACTAAATCTTTGAAATGTGGCTAGTGTGACTGGCAAATTTAAAAAATTTTCAATTTACTTTTAGTTAATTTAAATTTAAATATCCATATTAGAGCAAGCCAAAGGGTCTCACATATAGTGTTTTATACAATTTTCATAACATCAGTGAAATAAGCATTATTATTGTCATTTTAGTAATGAAAAGACTTAGGCCATGAGAGGTTGCTTGAGGCCACATAACTAATAAGTAGCAGAGGTAGGATCTGTACTCAGATTTCTCGGATTTCAGAACAGGTGCTTTCCCCCAGAAAAGAAGAGCCCAAAGAACATTCTGTCAGTGGTTGAATTGCCCCCAAGTGTGATGCTAAAACTGTTAGACAGGAATATTTGTTATGAAAGTGGTTTATTCTGTTGTGGGGTAGCCTTGAGGCTTTACTCAGGGTGGCCAGCATAACTGTTAATTCTTGAGTGTGAGTGAGGTGTGAATGAGCCCATGGGAAGCAGTGAAGTATGTCCACATTGAGGGCTAATCCTGATGAGGCCCGGATGAATCATGGTCTCCAGGCTCTGTACTCCTCAAGGGCAGGGCCATTTCCTTCATCCTGGTGCCCCAGCACCTAATTCAAGGCTCCAGGGAACATCGCTTGGTGCCCCAGCACCTAATTCATGGCTCCAGGGAACATCGCTTGTTCGATGAATGACAGAAGCTCAGAGCACAGTGGTCGTCATCTAGGTCAACTCTTAGGTCACACAAACACTGTAACTGGTTTCACTTAAATTCATGACCACAAATATCATGTGAGCCCTCATGTTTCCTGGCAATTTGACAACACATCTCAAATATGTTCACTCTCTGATTTCACACTTTCTTCTAAATGTCCAGCATCTTTTGCCCACTTCTTGCCGAGGCTGATGACCTTGCACTGTAGCCGACCTATACTGGCTTTTAGTTTCCCAGGATTTGATTCTGATCAAATTCCCCATTGTGTGGGTCTTGGCAAAAGGGGAGGGGCAGAGGGTCACTCTCTCACCCTCAGCATTTGGACTCAAGCATATGACCTAGAGTCGGCCAATCTGATGCTCCCAACCAGGACTTGGACTTCTGAGCTAGTGATACCAAGGCCTAGTGCTCTTTAGAAGTTATTCATCGTGGTGGCAATACAGACTGGTCCTGTGGTGGCAGCCCTACAAGAAGGGTTTTCATCAGGCTCTTCCAGTCTGTGCTAGTCTTGAGGCATATGAAAAAGACTCCCCAACTTTTATTTATAGCTTTTACCTCTCTGTTGAGTTCCAAACTTGCATATTCAGCTACACTAAGTAATTCCACTTGGATGTGTAATAGGCATCTCAGCTGCTACGTGACCAAATAAAACCTTTTTCTCTTTCCACAAAACTTTTTACTTCCCAAGTCTTTCCTATCTAGTAAATGGCACTATCATCCACCCAGTTGCTCAAATAAAAAAACCTATGAGTCATCTGATTCCTTTTTCCTCTTTTTTTTTTTTTTTGAGTTGGAGTCTCACTCTGTCACCCAGACTGGAGTGCAGTTTTGATTTATTGTGGAGATGAGGTCTCGCCAAGTTGCCCAGACGGGTCTCAAACCCGCGGGCTCAGGCAATCCACTCACTTCAGCCTCCCAAAGGGCGGGATTACAGGCTGAGCCACCAAGCCCGGCTTCCTTTTTCCTCTTGATGTTCACATCCATCCCCACGTGAGTCTCATGACTCTATCTCCAAAGTATACTCTAGTCTGATTGCAAACATGCTAGCACCTGGACTTCTGCAAAAACATTTGTGGTAGGTTGGATGGTCCCCCAAAGATGACTTTATAGTAGGTTGGATGGTCCCCCAAAGATGACTATGTCCCAATACATGGAACTTGGGAATATGTTACCTTATATGTTTAAAGAACTTTGCAAATGTGATTAAATCAAGAATCTTGAGATGGAGAGATTATCCTGATTATCAAGGGGAAGCCAATAAAACCACAAGGGTCCTCATAAGAGGGAGGCAGGAGCATTAGTCAGTGGTAGGAGATGTGACAATGGAAGCAAGAGATTGCAATGATCTGAGGAAGGGACGAGTCAAGGAATGCAGGTAGCTTTTCTAGAAGGGTAAGGAAACACATTTCTTCCAGAAGCGTCCAGGTGGAATGCAGGCCTATAGCACATTGATTTTAGACTTCTGACTTTCAGGCATGTAAAATAATAAATTCAGAGTCACACAGTATAGAAAAAAAAAAAAGAGAACAAATTCATGTTGTTTTAAGCCTCTAAGTTTGTGTTGATTTGTTACAAGAGTGATGGGAAGATAATGCAGTTCCCTAATTGGGCTCCCCATTTCCTGCCTTGTCTTTTTACCGTATTCTCCACCCAACAGACAAGGGGATTTTTAAAAAAGGTAAAACAGATAGTCACTGTCCTGTTTAAAACTTTCTTAACAAGAATTACTTTGTATTTGGAACAAAATCAAACTTACTATGGCCACAGGCCCTACATGATCTGGCACCAGCTATCACTCCAAACCCCTTCACTCCCTGTTTCACATACGCTCTCCACCCTTGTCCTTGCCTCCCTGCCCTTGAAGACACAGGGCATCTTGTTTCCCTTTGGAGCTTTTGCTCTAGCCATTTCCCTCTGGAAACGCTGTGTTCCCAGATCTTTAGATGGCTGGTCCTGTTAGCTTTCAGAAGTTCTCCTTTTCAGCGAGAACTCCTCTTACCCTAACCCAAAGTATTCCCCTTGCCACTGTCATTTGTATCTGCTTAGGACTTACCTGAAGCTATACCATTTTCTTGCTTGTTGTTTATTTCCTCCCTATCCCTTTAACCCAAGTTCCAGGAAACTAGAAACTGGTTTTCTTATATCCTGCTGTATCCCCAACCCCTCAACAGTGCCTGGCACAGGCTAAGAGGCACCCAGTGAAAACCTGTTGCGTGACTGAATGCTTGACTTTTTTTTTTTTTTGAGTTGGAGTCTCACTCTGTCACCCAGACTGGAGTGCAGTGGCACGCTCCCGGCCACCGCAGCCTCGACCTGCTGGGCTCCGGCAATCCTTCCGCCTCAGCCTTCCAAGTCGCTGGAGCTACAGGCGCGTGCTACCACGCCCGACTAATTTCTTATTTATTGTAGAGACGAAGTCTCGCCAAGTTGCCCGGGTGGGTCTCGAACCCGCGGGCTCAAGCAATCCACTCGTCTCGGCCTCTCCAAGTGCTGGGATTATAGGCTGAGCCACCGAGCTCGGCCGAATGCTTGACTTTATAGAAGGCCCAGGGTTCGAGTTGGCTACAAGCAGAGCAGGGCCTCGAACTCAATGCTCTTGACTAATCCAGAGGCGGAACTGAGACTGGACTCCAGTCCCTCTTGCTAGAGCTGCTGAGTCAGCGTTTGGGGCCACCCAGGCTGGTCAGAAAAGGAAAGTTCAAAGTACCCCCGTGGGAATTGATTATATCGATGGTGACGGTGACAACGAAAATAACAGCAGGTAATGCTCACTGAGCACTTTTCAGATGCCAGGCACTGTTCTACGTATTTAATATACACTTCATTTACTCTACACAACCACACTGTGAAGTAGGTACTATTATTATCCTCACTTTAAGGATGAAGAAACTGAGGCTCCTGTTAGGTAACCTGCTCATATACAGCTGAACATACACAACAAAACGTTTCCACCAAACCTTTCTCTTGCTCTCCCTCGCACTGACTACGGGGTGCGGATTTTCTGTCTGCGAAACCTCAAAACAACCCCAGCATCCTCCGCGACGGGCGGGACTTCCAGGGCGCAGGCGCGAGGCCGTGGGGCGAGGAGAGGACGGAGGCAGGGATTGGTGGAAGAGAATTGAAGCCTCGCAGCGGAAGTCCCGCCCAGCCTCGGAGAAGCTTCCGGCTCTAACTGCTCGGGGTTTACGCGGACGCAGCGGAGCTAGAGGGGCCGAAATGGTGCTGCTGGAGAGCGAGCAGGTATAGCTGGGCCTGGCCGACCCAAGGACGGGTGCGACTCAGAGCTTAGCTCGAGACCCCTGTCTCCTGCGGGAGGGACGGGGACGTGACGCGGCGGGGCGAGGATGTGGGCCGGCCTAACAGGCCCGGGCTTGTTGTGTTCTAGTTCCTGACAGAGCTGACCAGGCTCTTCCAGAAGTGCCGGACATCGGGCAGCGTGTACATCACTTTGAAGAAGTGTAAGCAGCCGGCGTCGCGGCAGGGCGGAAGGAGCGGGGAGAGGGGCCCTGGAAGCCGATCCCGGGGCCTGGGAGCCACGGGCGTCTGTCTGCCGCGGATCCGCCTCCCCCCACCTTTCTCCGTCCGGTCCTGCGCACTTCCAGGCCGCGTGGCCCGGAGGTTGTTAGGGATTGTGGCTGGTGGGGCCCCGGTTGCAGTGCGCTCCAAGCACGGCAGGGCGCCGATCTTTGTCAGGGATTCCAAACGGTGCCACGATGAGTGAGTTGTAACCTGCTTTGGTATGCTTCCGTCGTGGAAGTAACAGTAGTTTCTCCAGGATTTGGCCAAGCCGTGATAGCAGATGATGGCTGTGGTTGACGGAGTCGGAGCGGTGGGGGTGGATTAGGTCACCGCTTTCTACCCCTATCGGCAGCGTATGTGGCTGTGTTCACCAGAATGTATTTTTCATGCAGATGATGGTCGCACTAAACCCATCCCCAAGAAGGGTCCTGTGGAGGGCTTTGAGCCCGCAGACAACAAGTGTCTGTTAAGAGCTACGGATGGGAAAAAGAAGATCAGCACTGTGGTGAGCTCCATTCCCGAAGCTTCCTTTTGAAATTTGAAGACTTGAACTTAACTGAGGGTGGAGCGTTTGAACCGGCCTTTGCCCCTCCCCCCGTTTAAAAATGGAGGCTAAGTGTGTAGCTCTTTGGCTATTCTGAGACCAGAAGCTTTCTTTACAGCTTTAGTAGTAGAAACCTCAACAATAACATTGAAATTAAAAAGGTAGAGGTCAAATACTTGTTAGTTCTGTTAAAATTTTTGTGCAAATATTGGTCCTTACTTGTAGTACTGTAAGGAGCAGTTGGCATAAATATTTGATTCCTTGTCCCCTTACTGTGCTGCGCCTTCCATACATCGTTTCTTGGTGACACATGATGCTGTTATTTCCTTATCTTTGCGGTTCATGTAGCAAACATGTAGTTAAATGTTAGGCTTGATATTTGAGAACATATAGTCAACAGCCCTGGTCTTTCCCTTTGTTGGAGGTTGAATATGGTAAAGCAAGAGACCTCTGAATTCTAAGTGAATATTATCTGCCCTCTAATCACATTAGGATACTAACTCTGGAAATGTAGACTATAATTAGTTGATAAGTCTCCCCTTACAAGTTATCCTGAGAGAACTTTTACAGTAAAGCAAGCTTATGTGGTTTTTAAAAAAATCAAGTTGGATATCATGATTGCAAAAACCTAAGGAATTTTCTTCAGAGGTAGAATTTCTTTTGTGGTAGCTTGCATTGTGCTTAAATAAAGGCTTGAGTTAATGGCAGGCAGGGTTAAAAATAAGATTGGGAGGGAGTAGTTTAAATGTATCTTGTGCAAAAAATTAATACAGAGAAGTCCTTTTTTTCTTTTTTTGAGTTGAGTCTCTGTCACCCAGACTGGAGTGCAGTGGCATGCTCCCAGCCACCGCAGCCTCGCCCTGCTCGGCTCTGGTGATCTTTCCGCCTCAGCCTTCCAAGTAGCCGGAACTACAGGCGCGGGCTACCTCACCCGGCTAACTTTTGATTTATTGTAGAGACAAGGTCTTGCCAAGTTGCCCGGGCGGATCTCGAACCCGCAGGCTCAGGCAATCCACTCACCTCGGCCTCCCAAAGCGCGGGATTGCAGGCTGGGCCACCGAGCCCGGTCTTTAGCCCACTTTGTAATGGGGCTGTTTATTTTTTTTCTTTGAGCACATTTGAGTTCCTTGTAGATCCTTGATGTTAGGCCTTTGTCAGACATGGAGTTGGC